ATAATATTTTTTTAGTTAAATTCAATAAAAACCATTTTTTCCAAAGGCTCAATAAATTAAACACACTCTGTCTTATCAAACCAATTTATGTTTGTAGATACTGCCTAAATCATTCCACTTTATTATTTACCTTTTTTTTTTAAGATGTTATTGGGGAATTGGGGTAGGGGAACAGTGTTGGGGAATCGGGGAAGGAGAACAGACAAGTTGCTGTCCTTTTGTTCTTCAGTCTAGTTGTGGATGCTTCACTGGCCCATGTTGGTATTATCATTGCACTCTTCCCAGGTGAGGCAGTTGCTCGCCAGCCAATGGACGGCCGCTCATGGCGGCTCATGGCAGCTCATGAAAGCTCACACCCGCTGCCGGCCAGCCCCACTGCAGCCTACGCCGTTGCCAGTGACTCATGGCAGCCCAGCTCCAGGTTGAGGTGTAGTTCACCATCTTAGCTGTAGAGGGCGCAGCATCACTGGCCCTCATATGGGATCTGAACTGGGGCCCTGCTGCTCAGAGCTGGCGCTCCCAAGCCAACTCCTAACCAACGCGCCACTTGGCCAGCCCTAAATCATTCCATTTTATATCAAGTTGTTTAAAATACGCCCCTCATAAGAAAGTAAATAGCAGTAGATTTTAAGATCAATGATACAGTCAAAGCCTTTGTCTGCATCTTATATAACCACACACATTAATGGAACTCAAATTGTAATAGTAAATGTTATTTTAACAGAAGAACTAACTTAGTAAGCACTTCTGTCAAAGTACCATATAGAGACTCCTATAGCCATGCTACTGATTTAACATACAAGATAGAGAGCCAAAAGGCTCTCTCACATGGAAGAAAGGGAAAGTATCATTACAGTTCTCTTAACATTGAAGACTTGTTTCAAGACACACCTCTTTAAAAAAAAAAAAAACACTTGGTAACAGCTTTATTATCTGAAGACAAAAACAAGGCTTAAAATTCACTTAAGTGCTCCATCAACATTTTATCCTTTTGTGGCCACAAATTTTAGAAGCAAAATGCTAACAATGAACCAAAGGACAACTTTCACATATGCCGAAAGTATATATCTACTTAGCCTAAAGTTAAAAAGTTATTTTTCATAGAACTGAACAGAAATAATTTTGAGAGCTGTTGACTATATGTCTAATAAACCACTTTAGTTTTATATTTAAGTACAAACATTTCTACAATAGCTTTTAAAAAGAGAAATATCCTCTGTGGGTTCCACATCTGTGGATTCAGCCAACCACAGATTGAAAATATTTGGGGGAAAAAAAAATGTTACGTGTACTATGTATTATAGTTAGGCCTATGATGGTCGATACTGTACTGAACATGTTCAGCTTTTATGTCTTGTTATTATTCCCTAAGCAATACAGTATAACTATTTACATAGCTTTACATTGTATTAGGTATTATACATGATCTAGCCTCCCTGGCGGTCTGATTATGTCAGTAATTTTGTACCCAAAGCGGTACATTGTTTTGCATGGAAATTTGTTGTTTTATATTGTAGGTCTGTAATTCTTAGGAATTACTCACTTAAATCTGTCCAAACAAGAGTCTAGTAGGCATCCCAGGTATGATAAAGTTTGAAACACAAAATCATAAATTATAATATAATAAATAATTATAAAAAATAATATAATTTTATTCAATAATGTAATCAAATAAAAAACACTGCAATTTGTCATCAGCCGGCGTTCTCGTTGGCGATCACAGGAGGAAACTGCAGGATCGCAGGGAGCAGGTTAGGGACTTCTCTGGGACACTGCAGTGTAATCCTGAGTGTGCCGCTTTCTGGCAGTGAAGATTAACCCCATTCTGGCAGTGAGGATTAACCCCAAACCACACTCGGGATTACCGCCAGGGTAGCTAGAGATGATTTCAAGTATACAGAAGGATGGGCATAGGTTACATGCAAACACTACACATTTTGCATAAGGGACTTGGAGCATCTACAGATTTTGGTGGGGGAGGGGGTTCTGAGGGATGACTAGCTAGCAAACTGGAAAGGACTTTAAGTTTTCTTCGATTTTAGCTGGAGATGTTTCTAAAATGGTCACATCTGAGATATAGAATCATTTGGTTCCTCACTCTAAATAACAAAAAATTTCCTTCACATATGTTCTGAAAGCAAAGGAAAAGAACATTAAACCAAAACATAATGCTAAAATACAAAGGATTGAAAAATTTTAAAAGCACCTATATCTTTATTTGAAAACTTCACTTGAATAGCATCTTGAACACATGAACATGACTTCTGGCATAAAAGTAACACAATTAAAATAAAGTATTCTGAAAAGATAACGACATAAAGGCTCATGTTAAATGAGTGTTAAATCTCACTTCTGTTTAGAAAAAGTCTCTTGTAGTCTCGTGTAGAAGCAATAAATTATAAACATCTTATAAAATGTTCTTAGGTTGTTGGTTTCGAATTTGTATAGGATAGATAACTTTGAAGAAAAAGAAAGTAGAATGAGCCACACAAATTCAACTTTGGTGTCAAAATGTTCTGGCCAAACCCAGTTTTAGTATCGTATAGCCATTAAGCATAAAGCCTAACGGTCAGTTCCATTTTAAGTCCTTTCTCATGTAGAGATTAAAATATGCATTCTAGAATAGTAAAGAAGGGCCTGATCTCTTTATAGAGATTTTTCAACAAAGGTAACAAAGGTCTAGATATAAATACATGCTTCGCAACTGAGATGAAAAAAAAAATGATAGAAAAAGAATAATTTTGGGATGAATGGGATAGCCATGAACCTTTCTCCCTCTGAACTAAATTTTTTTTAAAGTTATTACTCAAATCAATAATAAAATTACAGAAAATGGGTTTTTAGAGTGTTTCAAGTAAACAAATCCATAATTTCTAGTAAAAAAGGAAAACCTATTAAAACACTTCAATACACACTACACCCTCCAGTGGGCAAGCATCCATGGAAAAATATAAAAAGATTTAGTTGGATTTTCCACTCAGTTAAATCAGTCCTATAACTAATGAAATGATGGCTCTAAAACCTCATAAAAGTTCACACTATTTTAATCATTTACTATCTGAGTTAGATGAAGCAAAGATATTTTTTAAAAATAACAATTTTGATCTTGTATAGGGAAATATAAGAAACAAAAACATGATCTGCTTATTTTTCCTTAAAAAATAAAGTGCTATCAAATTCTTATTTCTTTAACTTATAAAGGAAAAAAAGGTCAACAGGACAAATCGCATATAAAGATACGTAATTAAAAGATGAAGTATCCTTTATGTCGTGAGCTGCAAAGGCAGCACTAATATTTTAAAGGAAAATCCAAAAATTATGGTTCCTTAGTGAGAACTGTGGCAGAAAAGCAGTATGTTCATTAAATTTTTCAGGAAAACAACTTACATTATCACCTGGTAATATTTAGTATTACTGGTCTCATGAGGCTATGTGGTCACTACACAGAAATATAAACACACTTAGAATAAAATTAAGAGACTACCTAAAAGAGCCCTTACTCTATATGGCTAATGTTTCAGCACTTAAATGGTATAATAGAAGCAAAGACTAGATTAAAAGTATTCTAACAATGGCCCAAATATCATTTAAAGTTCCCCTAATTTACAATACAATATTAGACATATATTTAACACATAAATCTAGAAATCATGTATGAAGACGTAAATTTTCCAAAACGCATCAAAGGTTTTTTGTGTTTATGTATGAAAAACTAGTACAGCTTAAGGCTACTTGAGGCACTGAATTTACTAACTCGGCTATGAGACTAGCAACTGAAGGACAACAGTGACATCTAGCGAACATTTCAAATATGTACCACACATATCTTGGATCAAAACATTTTATTTCTAGGTTTCATATGTTTCAACCTGACTGAGGAATTATATGATAAAGCTTGAGTTTTGAACCAAAATAAGGCAACTCTACTCCCAAACGGTTTCTCAATATGAGTGACCCAATCATGTATTAAACAGAAAATGTAAAGAAAGGGTCTAAATATAAAGTCAAATAAATGTCCAGGACACAAATTAACTGAAAGTCCTTGAAAAATCACAAATGCTTTCCAGATCTCTCAGAGCCAACTAACTTAAAAGATTTTAATGATTATTTGAGTTCAATGATTTTCTGACAAGAAAAATGCTAAGGGCCTAAACTTCACAAGTACATAATTCAAAATCATTGAAAATATCTCTCAAATGTAAATACTTTGGAACTGATAACATTTAGGTCACAAAAGCCCTATCCTAATAGCTTCAAAAGTTATATAGAGGAAAAATAAACTGTGGTATATTCAAACAATGGAACACAGCTCAGGAATAAAAAAGAATGAAGTAATGATACATGCAAAAACGTGGGCTGAATCTTATAAAAATTAGGCTGAATCAAAGAAGCCTTACATGAAAGTTACAGCCTGGACGATTCCATTTACATGACATTCTAGAACAGACAGACTGATCTATGGAGTGAATACATACATATACATACATACATACATACATACATACATACATACATAAACAAAATCAGAACAATAGTTACCTCTGAGGGTAAGATGGAGATGGGAATTGACTGGGAAAGGTTATGACGGAATTTTCTGGGGTAACGGAAATATTCTATATCTTAATAGGAGTTGGGGTTACACAGATACATGCATTTGTCAAAACTCACCAAATAATATACTTAAGATTTGTGCAAAATTTATATAAAATTTACCTTAAAAAGTGAACCGTAAGCAAATATTAATAATCCAGTTATTATATATATCCTGCTGAAGTACTGGGGGTGATATCTACAGATAGCTGCAACTTACTTTGAAATACATACAAAAGTTAGATGGATTGATGGACAGATTATAAAAAAATTAAAAATGTTTTCTTAAATACCAACAATTTTCCTTTTATACTATAACATTTTAATCTCTCCAATCTACCATTAAATGTGACTATCTTCTAAAAAGCATGAGTTACAGGATAATAGGTTATAAAATTTGAAAGACATACCCGAATTTCTTGGAGGTTGTGGAAATTATTTCCTACTCTGACTGAGATCTTGCTTGGAGTATAGCTTTCATCAGATTTGTAGTCCGCATAAATACATAATGTCTTCACTGTTGTTTTTCTTCTAAAAGCAATAAAGTAAAAACAACACGACCTTTATCACGTGGAAAGATTATATCTAAAACATCTTATCTTCTGATTTTAAAAACCATAGTTTGCTAAAATGAGTATTTAAATCAACAATTTCCATGTCCCTTACTTTTAACAATGATGAAAGTAAAGAATATGTAAAAATATACATACATGTTTTACTTATACAGATGTCTCTTATCTAGAACATGGTTAAGAGCCACGTGTGAGCCAAGAAGGAAAAGTTAGGCCAAAATAGGCACCTTACAGTACAAACAAGCACTAAGGATTTCAGTCCTCTTCATTTGTATTTTAGACAAAAAAATTATTCTAACAAGCTTGGTTTTCTTTACTAGTTCATTCCTTAATTTCCTACGTTAATACTTGAAAATAACTAGCTAAGTGAGAAATTAAGTCCAGCAAAGAGAAAAGCATTTTTTTAAAAGTAGTATCATCTATTCCTTAATGCAAGAAATAAAATTCTGCTGTTTTTTGTTTTGTTTTGTTTTGTTTTTTAATTGGGGAATTGGGGGAAGGGGAACAGACAAGTTGCTATCCTTTTGTTCTTCAGTCTAGTTGTGGAGGACTTTGCTTCACTGGCCCAAGTTGGCACCATCATTGCGCTCTTCCCGGGCAAGACAGATCAGTCACCGGCTTCTGGGCGGCTCACGGCGGGGCTGCTGGCCGCTCACGCTGGCTGCTGGCAACACACGGTAGCCCACGGCAACCCACTGCCACAGGGGCTGCAGCCTACGCCGACCCCGGCGACTCACCACAGCCCAGCTCCAGGTTCAGCATCTTAGCTGTAGAGGGCAGTGTCACTGGCCCTCATATGTGGGATCCAAACCAGGGCCCTCTGGCGTCCCAAGCCAGCTCTTAACCAATGCGCCACTCGGCCGGACCAAAATTCTGCTGTTTTTTAAATATACATATTTAGAAAGATAAGCAAAGACTACATAAGAGAAAAATCTCAGAAAAAATGCAAGTGACTAAAAAACATGAAAATATGTTCGAACTCTTAACAATCAAATAAATAGAATTTAAAACACACATAGACATTAGTTTTGTTACCATATTGCAAAATATTTAAATGACAGGTAATACCCAAATTGATTAGTAAAAGGTACTTTCATAGCCAGGTAGTCGTTACACAGCTTTGATCCACAATTTCAACTTCTAACAATGCATTAAAAGGCAGTAATACTACAACTACTTAAAAATGGATGCAGAAAAAATGTTTACTGTCCTTCAGTTAAATTACTGAAATTACAAACTAAATATCTATCTCAATAGGAATTAGTCAAACAAATTATAATATATCCATCCATTCAATGAAATATTATACAACTATTTAAAATAATCACACAGATATATAGAGCAGGGAAAAAAGTATTACAACACAGCATATACAGAAGGATCACATTTTAGGAAAAACAGTATTTTAAAGGCCTATAAACCTATATAAATGTATAGAAAAAGAACTCGACAGACTCATACAAAAACAGTGAAAGCGACTATTTTGGTGGGGTAGAACTATAGGAGATCTTTATTTTCTTCTTTATGATTTCTATATTTTCTGAATAATTTTTTAAAATAAGCATATGTTATTGTGGTCATTAGAAAAAAATTAGACAATTTTAAATATTAACCAGAAAAAACATCAAGTCTATTTAAATGTGCTTTTAAAAGTTAAGTTCTGGTATAAACTGGCACTAACTTAGTAACAATGAGATCCTTGAACAGAAGTAGCCTGAGTCAAAAGTCAACCTATAAAAACAACAGGGGGTCTGTAGCTCTTAGTGAGGCAACCAAGCATTTGTAGGCCAAACTATTCATCAGAAAGGAATGGGGAAAGTTAAGGGCTTTCCCTCAAATAATAAAGACAGATGAAGATGTAATACGCTAAATACCAAGGAACCCCTGACAGGATAAATACCATTACCAGGTTTTCACAAGAGGCCAGAGGTATCAAAAGCACATTTCTTTTTGTACTGGGCCGGAGGAAGACATGAGAGAAAGCAAAGGAAGCAGGGGCAATTCTGAAGGGCATACATAAGATCTTTCCCCTGATGACACAGGCAGGCAGTGAGTGACAGGTCTTTCTTATTACAGAGAGATCAAAGATCATAAAGACTGCTCCTAAGGACTTTTTTTTTTTTTTAACAAAAGCAGATGTAAAGGACCAAGCTTTATGCTCAGAATAATTTTATCTCCAAGTTATGAAATTCAGGATAACTTAGCCACTGGAACCTACAACATAATCAGGGTGAGGCTAGAAAGGCAAAGAATAATAACAACACTAATCATTATAAAAACAACAGCACAACAGTGGCAAATAGCAGGTGAATGAATACTCTGTCTGGCCTAGAAGTAATGCTTTACATGGATTATCTCATTTACTCCTCAACCTTGTGATACAGGAGCTAGTATCACCTTCATTTCACTGATTTAAAAAAACCAACACTCAGATTTATAACTGGTTTAAGGTAAAAAAAGGCTTGTAGGTGGACACTGTAGGAGTTCAAATGTGTGTCCGGCTGCCTCATACGATCTTACCACTATCACCTTCCTACTAAGTAATTATACTAGCTCATTCAACAGTCATTGATACCAGTTTACAGTAACATGTAGGTGTTTGTAGTTATTTAAATTATATCTACACCATGGGATCTTATCCTAAGGTCTACTATCCCGAGAAATCATATGTATAATTTATGCTACATAGTTTCATTAAATGTGTAAAGGAAACTGTGACCTCACCAAAAGTTTAAAACTATTCCTCTAAAATGTACCCATAAATTATTTTTTTAATTATTTATAAATTTTACCTCATGGTGAATTTAAAAAATAATATTGCATAGAAAATGATGCTATTTGTCAAACAGCAGTGCACATGGGAAAATTAAATGCACAGATTCTGAGACATAGTGTCATCTACTCAAATTGCTCAAATCGTCATTATAAAAATAATCACTATAAACTGAATGCTTACTATAATATATGCCAGACATCCTGCTAAACTCTTGGGATAAGGTATTGTATGAAGGGAGAAGGGCGCAGGTAATACGTCCCCATTTCTGATGACATAAGCAACACTCCCAGCCTCTCTACCCCTCACCCATTACTCCCGGTCCACTGAGAAAGCTGCTGACAGGAAGCAAACGTTTGCTTTGTTCCTCCACAAATTTAATAGGGGCAGGCGCTCCCTGGTCTAGCACTTTCATAACTGGATGGGTAAGTCTGCTTAATTCTAGGGTTCATAGTAGGAAACACTTCACTGCAGATATAAACCCGTTTGTCAGTTTTATAAGGGTGATATTTTGGTCTCCATCTGCTGACTCTTGAATAACTTCTCAACTGATTTGGAATGCATGACATTGCAAGAGAAGACATTAGTGACAGACACGCCTAGTTGCCAGCCTAACAGCCCCTTTTCCCTTCTTTCTGCATAACATCCAGCAAGGCTCTATTCCCCAGCTTCCCTTAAAGCGAGGAATGACCACATGACTAAGTTATGACCTGTAAGATTTAAACTGAATGAGTTTGTCTTGTAAAGAAAGTTTCTTTAAAAGGAAGACAAGCCATTTCACCTTTCCCACCTACTCCTTCCTGCTGCCTGGGATATGGACATGATGGGTGAAATTCCAGCAGACATCTTGGATCATGATGCAACCTTGTAGATAGAATCCACAAGCTAAGAAGAGTAGAAGGAAAAAGAAGGAATCTGGGTCCACAATATACTGTGGGGCTGCCATACCATTCCCAAACTGCCAGGCTCCTCTTCCATGAAGGTAAAAGAAATAAATTTCACTTTGTCTAAAACACTGTTAGAAGCTTTGTTACTAGAAGTTCTCATTCCTATTTAATATAACATTATTATGTCCACTTTACAGATGAGGAAACTGAGCCTCAGATTAGGCTAAGCAACTAATCCTCATGTACACATCTAGCAAAGCACAGAGCCAAAATCTGAATCTAGGTCTGTATGACTACACTATGTAAGAGCAACTACAAATTCCTAAGGTACAGGACAAAAATAAAAAACAAAATAGTTATAAAATTGTTTATCATTTCCTGCTAACATGCTAGACACATTATTACTAAGAGACTGAGACATATAAGAAAGAGTACCCATACTTTCCTAAAACAAAATGCAGGGGCTGGCCGAGTGGCTCGTTGGTTAGGAGTTGGCTTGGGAGCGCGAGCTATGAGCAGTGGGGCCGCCGGTTCGGATCCCACATGGGGCCAGTGACGCTGTGCCCTCTACAGCTAAGATGGTGAACAACAGCTTAAACTGGAGCTGGGCTGCCGTGAGTCGCCGGTGACGGCATAGGTTGCAATGGGGCTACAGTGGGCTGCTGTGAGCCACCGTGAGTGGCCATCCCAATGGCCGGCGAGCGACTGCCTCACCCGGGAAGAGTGCAATGATAATACCAACATGGGCCAGTGAAGCGACGTCCTCCACAATTAGACTGAAGAACAAAAGGACAGCAACTTGTCTGTTCCCCTTCCCCGATTCCTCAACGTTGTTCCCTTCCCCCAATTCCCCAATAAAATCTTTAAAAAAAAAAAAGGCAAACCATACACACACACACACACACACACACATACACACACACAAAGGGTGCCAAAAAATGTATACATACTTTAAGAAAAAACTGTATTAAAATTGTAATACTCAATATATACCAGTAACAAGAGATGAATATAAGTCATGTGTATACATTTTTTTGGCACCCTCTCTGTATGTGTGTGTGTGTGTGTGTGTGTGTGTGCATGTTTGTATAAAAAAGTCAGGAACAAAGAAGAATGTAATCATATATACAGAGGGTGCCAAAAAAATGTATACACATTTTAAGAAAGAAAAACTGTATTAAAATTGTAATAATATATACTGATAACAAAAGATGAATACAAGTCACATTTGACTTCTGCAATTACAAGAGATGCTCAAAGTAGTTACCATCAGCGTAATTTTAATACAGTTTTTTCCTT